CTTCGGACTCTGAGGAAGAAGAGGTCTCCTCACTACGGAGTGGAGGGATGACCCCGTCCCCTTCCACCACCGCCTCCTTCAGGAGCAGCGAGTCAAATTTCACCGTGTAGTAACCGCTGTCAATGTCTGAGAAAGGAGAATTGAGATTATTCATTTTATTTACCTTCCGCCTTAATTATCGCTATAAATCACTCAAGGTGGTATGTGTATATGTATGTATGTATGTATGTATGTATGTATACACACACACACACACACACACACACACGCAGGAGTACCTGGTGACTCAACTCCTTCGAAACTCATTGAATTTGATACTCGCTGCATTTTGAACATTTTGTCCCGGGACTCATTGTTTGTTTGGTACTCGGCACACAAACTAGAATTTGTCAGTTTTTGGCTGCCTTGTGACTCACTACGTTATTCCTTATGGGAGGAAAAAATGTGTTTTGGTACTCATTGTTTTCGGTTTTCACCACACTGCCCGGAATCAATTAACGATGAGTTATGCAAAGTATTAGGACCGCTTTATAAAGTCCTAGTGAGGCCACACCTGGAATACTGCAGCCAATTTTGGTCACCATATCACAAAAATGATGTTGAGAGTTTGGAAAAAGTTCAGAGAAGAGCAACTAGGATGATCCAAGGCCAGGAGGCTAAAATACACGAAGAACGGCTGCGGGACTTGGGCTTGGCTAATCTGAAGAAAAGAAGAAACAGGGGAGACATGATAGCAGTCTTCCAGTGTCTGAGGGGCTGCCACAAAGAAGAGGGGGCCAGGTTGTTCACCAGAGCACCAGAGGGAAGGACGAGAAACAATGGTTGGAAACTGACCAAAGAGAGAAGGAGCTTGAAATTAAGGAGAAACTTCCTGACAGTGAGGACAATTAACCAATGGAACAGCTTGCCACCAGAAATCGTGGGCGCTCCATCACTGGAGGTTTTTAAGAAGAGACTGGACAGTCAGCTGTCTGAGATGGTATAAGTCCTCCTGCTTGAGCAGGGGGCTGGACTAGAAGACCTCCAAGGTCCCTTCCAGATTCTATTCTATTCCATTCCATTCCATTCTGTATTTCTATTCTACAATCTGTCTACTCTACTCTACTCTACTCTATTCTATTCCATCTTCTTCCTGTTTCTATTCTATTCTATTCTATTCCATTCCATTCCATTCTGTATTTCTATTCTACAATCTGTCTATTCTATTCTATTCTATTCTTTTTCCTGTTTCTATTCTATTCTATTCTGTATTTCTATTTCTATTCTACAATCTGTCTATTCTATTCTATTCTATTCTATTCTATTCTATTCCTATACCCAATATTTCCTCCTCCTCCTATTTTCCCAACAACAAAACTGCAAAGTGTATTGGGCTGAGAGAGAGTGATTAGCCCAAAGCCACCCAGCTGATGTTCAGGCCTAAGGCAGGACTAGAAATCAAACTCTCCAGGTGATTGGCTGGCTGGGGAATTCTGGGATCTTAAAAGTCTTAAAATTGATGAGATTGAGAAACCCCGAGTTAAAAGGACAGCCAAGAATGGGCCGCTTCAGGTCTCCAAAAGCTTCTAAATCAGTGAGCCAAGGAAACTTAAAAAAAAAAAACAAGCGAGCAAACTTGGAATATGGCAGCAAAGCTAGAAAAAAATGTTATCTCTGGACAGACCACCTTTGGATTTTCTTAAAAGAGGAAATAAGCAACCAAATCTGGATGCGATCAAGGAGAGAATCAAGGAGAGAAGCAGCCTAGAATTAAGGAGAAACTTCCTAACAGTGAGGACAATTAACCAGTGGAACAGCTTGACACCAGATATTGTAGGTGCTTCATCATTGGAGATTTTAAAGAAGAGACTGGACAGCTATTTGTCTGAAATGGTATAGGGTCTCCTGCTTGAGCTGCAGGTTGGATTAGAAGACCTCCAAGGTCCCTTCCAGCTCTATTCTGGTTAAGAGTAGCCAATTCTAGGCCAGAGCTCTACCTGTCCCAGGTGTGGCTGCCAGTGTCCAAGGCTCTTCATACAATGAAACCCATAGGTCAGGGGTAGGCAACCTTGGCTCTTTTATGACTCGTGGACTTCAACTCCCAGAATTCCTGAGCCAGCATGGCTCTGCTTGGAAACCTCTCCCTTTCCCCTCAGCGTGGCTGGCTCAGGAATTCTGGGAGTTGAAGTCCACGAGTCATAAAACAGCCTAGGCCTAGGCCAGAGGTAGGCAACCTTGGCTCTTTTATGACTAGTGGACTTCAACTCCCAGAATTCCTGAGCCAGCCTGGCTCAGCTTGGAAACCTCTCCCTTTCCCCTCAGCGTGGCTGGCTCAGGAATTCTGGGAGTTGAAGTCCACACCTCTTAAAGTACCCAAGGCTGAGAAACAGTAGGCTAGGCCAGGGGTAGGCCACCTTGGCTCTTTTATGACTCGTGGACTTCAACTCCCAGAATTCCTGAGCCAGCCTGGCTCATCTTGGAAACCTCTCCCTTTCCCCTCAGCGTGGCTGGCTCAGGAATTCTGGGAGTTGAAGTCCACCAGTCATAAAAGAGCCCAGGTGGCCTACCCCTGCTCTAAGGCATGCCGAAATCAACCTCACCTGTGATTTTAGCAGCGTACCAGATCCCATCCTGGTGTCTCGCCAGGCAGGCCGAACCCACAGCTAGGCCACTGAGGTCAGGCTCTTCAAAGGGGTGCAGTTCCTCAATGGATACCACCTGCCCGTGGGAAAACCTGCCAGGGAGACCAGGAAGAGAGAGTTGGTCATAAATACCTTGGTTTCAAAACACTAGATCTTTATACGGGTAACCTTAACCTTAATTGAGCCCAAAGTTTCTGTTGCTAAGCGAGACACTTGTTAAGTGAATTTTTGCCCCATTTTACGACCTTCCTGGCCCCGGTTGTTAACACTCCTGCAGATGTTATGTTACTAGCACAGTTATTAAGTGAATCTGGCTTCCCCCATTGCCTGTCAGAAGGGGACAAAAGGGGATCACGTGACCCCCAGGACACGGGAACCGTTGTAAATAACAGCGTTTCCCCAAGTCTTATATTAATTTTTGCTCTAAAAGACCGCATTACGGTTTATTTTCTCGTTAAGGCTTATATTCGGGGAAATATGGTACTCAATGCATCCGTCTGGCTGATGATCTCTTAAGTGGGGCTTATTTTGGGGGGTAGGGCTTATATTGCGAGCATCCTGAAAAATCATGCTAGGGTTTAATTCTCTGGTTGGGTCTTATTTTGGGGGGAAACACGGTACGTGTCGGTTGCCAAATGTCTGAATTTTGATCACGTGGCCAAATTGAGGACAACCTGTAGAGAGATGTCCCAAGCAGCAAAACAGTAGAACAGTAGTCTCATCATATAGATCAGGGGTCTTCAAACGTGGCCCTTTTATGACTTGTGGACTTCAACTCCCAGAATTCCTCAAGGAATTCTGGGAGTTGAAGTCCACAAGTCATAAAAGGGCCACGTTTGAAGACCCCTGATGTAGATTGTCCCCCACAGGACGTCGCCTGCATAAAGATACAAATGCCTCTACTTCCCTGCATGTCCACCAAATATGAAAATATGTTGCATCTAAGTGTTGGAGATGTGGAAACTTAGATGCAACATATTTTCATATTTGGTGGACATGCAGGGAAGTAAAGGCATTTTGGATTAAGATATGGTGGAATACTCAAAATATTTTTAAGAAAAAGATAAAGTTTAAACCGCAGATATTTTTGTTGGGTATTATGGAAGATTTGGATACAAAAGAAACAGATTTGATGTCGAATTTGATAACTGCTGCAAGATTGCTAGTAGCTCAGTGTTGGAAAATGGAACGTTTGCCCACTATAGAAGAATGGTCGCTTAAAGTCTCAAATTTAGCAGAAATGGCCAAGATTTCCACTTATGTGAAGGATTATTCACAAGAAAGATATATTTCGGTTTGGAGAAGATGGGATAGATTATATTGAGAAGTAAATATGGTACTAAAAATTTTCATTTGGTTTTTGAGTAAATTTTAGAGTATTAATGTAGTTTATATGTTACAATAGCTACTTATTTTTATTTATAATTATTAATATAATGTTATAATTATTGTGTTCAATCTTAGTATATTTGTTTAAAAGAGAGTTAAAGGATGTTATAGATTTGTTATTCTAATAGTTGATTAATGTTAGATAGAGTATGGTTACTGTATTGTTAACCCTGTGATTGGCTCTGGGAAGTGGGGGGGAGGGAGGGGGGAGGGTAAGGGTGGGTTTTGGGGAGGGGGGGAATTACATTTGTAAAACTTTTATAAAATTTTCAATTAAAAAAAAAAAGATACAAATGCCTCTTGCATATATCAGGAATCCCACCCCTTACCAGTTGATCTACTTACCGGCAATTCTCTTTAAATCGACACTTGTCATCCAGGAAAAAGGGGCACGGCTTTAAAGACTTGTGAGTTGGGTAGAGGTAGAGCACCCTAACTCCGGGCCCTCCATCTTCCAAGCACTCACTACCTACGATCATAGCATTGTGATACTCCAAGGTTCCCCAGGAACTGTAGTAAGGAGCTTTCACTTTCATTCCACTAGCTATTTCTTCTTCTTCTTCCTCCTCCTCCTCTTCCTCCTCCTCTTCTTCCTCTTCATCACCCGTTCCATCTCTGTCCTGAGTTCTGAATGGACCATCCTCTCCGTCTATTTGTGCAATGGCTTCCTTAAAAGCAGCGTATTCGTCATCGGTGTTTGGACGGCCAGCTTCTCCAGGGCTCTGTTGAGGATGAGTGGATGAAGGCACCTCCGTGTCCAAAGTTGAGCAAAGTTTGCTTTTTTTCACAGACAGGAGGCTGGCTTCGGTCAGTTCGATCAGCTGCCTTAAATCAGCCTGCAGCTGGATTAGATCAGCCTGTTGTGTTGGGTCCAGCCCAGCCCCTAAAGCCAGGTCCACTTGCTGCAACTGAGCATTGTAAGTCTGAATGGCTGTTTCCAAGCTCTCCTCATCCATGGCTGGGCTCCTTCTTGGAGAATTCAGTTCATTTTCAACTTAACAGGTAACCAAGAAATACAATATTTATCCAACAATAAGGACTGCACACTTTAGTTCATGGTTGGTGTTGTTTTTTTTTACATCCAAGCTTATCTCACTGCAAGAAACACAGATAATTTTATGTTTACACTACTTTTCAGTAAAAGCTTCAAACATGCTGTACGATGGCATCTAAGACCTTAAGTCGGTTACAAAGCAATATTACAGGTAGTTCTCAACGTACAACCACAATTGAGCTCAACATTCCCTTGCAGAGCAAGGCAGTTGCTAAGTGGGTTGCGCCCCACTTTACCTCTTTTGTCACATTTCTTAAGTATATCATGTAGTTTGTCAGCAAACCTGGCTTCCCCCATTGACTTTGCTTGTCGGAAGCCAGCTGGGAAGGTTAGAAATGATATCACATGACTCCAGGACAGTGCAACTGTCATAAGTACATGCCAGTTGCAAGCACCAAAATTTTGATCACCTGGCCATGAGGATGCTGCAATGGTCGTAATTGTGAAACCTGCTCCCGAGTCATTTTTTTCAGTGCTGTTTAAATTCAAGCGGTCACTAAAAAAAGGCTGTAAGTCGAGGACTACCTGTATCGAAAAATTATGAAGACAACATCTGAAAAGCACCAAGGTATTTATTCTGTCTTCTTAAAGAGGCAGGAAATTTGCAGTAAAATGTGCCCCCCGTGTTATGAATCCTGTCATAAGGGGAACAAAAGACCTGAAATGTCTTTTTAGGAAAGAAGGATCAACATTTCAAAGGAAAACCAAGTTAGAAAATCCCGTAGCCTTTTTTTGTCAGAAAAATATTAAACTTACTAAAGCAGTAACATACAAAGAAAACTTATATAAAATGTTTTATAGATGGCATATGACACCAGTTCACTTAGCGAAAATGTTTAAAAATTTATCGGATACATGTTGGAAATGTAAGCAAAAACCAGGTACTTATTATCATGCCTGGTGGACATGTTCTATTGTAAAAAAATATTGGTCTAAGATTCACAGATGGTTAGAAAAGATGATGAAAATCCAGATAGAATTTAAACCGGAACTGTTCCTGTTAGGTATATTAAGACCTAACTATGTCAAAGAAAATGATTATTTAATATCACATGTATTAACAGCTGCAAGAGTAGTATTTGCCCAATTTTGGAAAAATGAAAACCTACCATCAGACCAGATTATAATTTTGAAAATCCTAAGATTGTGCAGAAATGGACAGATTAACGTTAGAGATGAAGGAGAAAGAAGATTCAATCTTTTATAAAACCTGGGGAAAATTTTATCAGTAGGTTGAAACACGTTAGAAGAAGAGATTTTAGAGTTTTATTATATTAAGTATTAAGGTTGATGATTGGAAATAGCTGTTATCAACTATGTTAATTATTTAAAGGAATATTAGTGTTTTACCAAATGTCAGTTGTAACTATACCAATTTATTCTTATAAATGTCTAGTATTTTATAAACAATAATACTTAATATGAAGACCCTGACGACAGCTTGTTCGCTGGATTACGTATTTACTGTAGTTATCCACACCCTGTCCCCTTTATCCCAATTTTCCTATACCCGCACCGACCCTACCTTTTCCCTACCCATATAAAATCTAATAAAATATATTTTTAAAAAAAGAAGAAAATCCAAATAGTGTCGATTAAAAACTGCAACCAAGGTATAATTTCCCACCCTTCTTCTTCTTCTGCTACTGGTACGCCTTTTAATGAACAGCCAGTGAAATAATTCCTGATATGAAGGGATTAAAAAGCATATTCTTAATTTCAGCGGCTGCTGTTAATGGCACAGGAGCAAAGGCAGTAAAAAAAAAAAAAGTGGCAACTCTAACTTGTCTCTGTGCACGGAGAAAAAAAATAGATGGTTTTTTTTTCTTTTATTCTTCTGGGCAGGGAGCTTGGGCTTCTGAGTCAGGCAGAAATTCAACCGGAAAAGCTCCAGCCCCAACCCCCCCAAAAGGGGTGGGTGGGAAGGATTTGCGAGCAGGTAGAAAGATGCCTCCTTCCAAGTTAGATCTTTCGTTTGCAGTTAACTCAGACCAGAAAGAGGGAAGTCTCAGCCCCACCGAAAGCACTGGACTCGTCTCCCATCATCCACAGCCATATGGGTCCACTAGGATGGAGGACAATTGGCGTTGTAGTCCCGGGCTTCTGGACGGGGACCGACTGGAGACTTGCGAAAGCTCTCGCGCGCCACCCAAGCGAGGGAAAGCGATTCACCAGCACGACCTCCCCGCCCCAACGACGGCCAGCCTTTCCCCTTTTAGCACCCGACGACCGCCATGATGGTTCCCCCCCCTTGAATCCGCCTCCGCTTCCGGTCTTCTACAGAGGCTTCCATGACCATAGAAAGAAGCCGACCGGAAATGGCTCCGCCTCCCTCTTCTTTCCTTCCTTGTCCATGGTTCCTCTCCGGCGAAGCCGACCGAAAATGACCCCTCTTTCTCTTTTTTCCCCTTTGTCTATGGTTCGTGTCCGGCGAAGCCGACCGGAAATGGCTCCTCCTCTTTCTCTTTCCCCCCCTTCCTTGTCTATGGTTCGTGTCCGGCGAAGCCGACCGGAAATGGCTCCGCCTCCCTCTTCTGTCCTTTCCCTGTCTATGGTTCCTGCCCGGCGACGCGGGAGAGGGCGCGGCGTGATAGCGCAAAGGCTCCTGGGGATCGTGGTCCTTTACAGGCAGGGGGAGGCCGTCGCCGGCGGGGACGGAGACTCCATTTCCCAGGCTACCCCTGGGCACGAGCAGGGCAGACTGAGGAAGAAGCCCATAAGGAAGGCGGCGAGTAGGAGCTGTTAACCGAATTCGCCCCCCTTTGTAAAGTGCCGGTAAGTCTCTTCCAGCGCCGACCGCCTCGGGGACAGCGAAGGGGAAGGCGGGACTACAATCCCCATCGCGCCGGTGGGGAAGTCATCTGGGTGGGTTGGACCCAGAGGCGGCTTGTTGAGGTTCCTCGGGCAAAGGAACTCTGTGCATGCTCAGGGGCCCACTTGACACTTCCCAGCAGACGTTGGGCAACCCATACATTTACATAAACGATAACGATAATAGCAGGATATATCCAGCTGGGCTAA